ACAATGTTCAAACTGAAATAATATGCGGCGACGCCGGGTTCTCGTGCAACAACACGGGCCAAGACTCAGTGCTGCAATTTAGTCAATCGAATGCGCGGGTTCAACTCAAGTATTCTGTGTCATGTGGAAGGCTCTCAACAACATTTGAGCTAGAGGACATCCTTAAATTCACAGGTTCGGTAGCAGGGCTGACTGAGCAGTGGCTACAAGGACATCCGTTCACCACATCCACCTTTGCGTGGCCGGACCTGTTCCACATCGTAACGGTTATTCTCCACTGGTATAAAACTCTCCTAGCCGCAGTGATTGGCGTAATTCTTCTAGTCGGCCTTACATACATCTTACTGGCCACCTTTGGAGTTCAAATGTCACTATTCATCCTACGAGCAGCGCTGTGGATACTCCTTCTAGGACCAAGAGTGTTAACACCGTCAGGAGGGGCAGTCTTTCGTCGTGCTCGTAAAGCCCGCCATAATAGGCAATACTGATGAGACTGGGTACCTGCCGTGTACATATGTATAATAGTTCACCTTTAGAAAAAATGTAGAACAAAGAAGAAAACCATGCAAGATTTGGGACAAATATCTTTCTTGTTTCAGAGCCTACATATTGCGGATCGACTCCCTCGACGGTACTAAACAAGAGGCTCAAGATGGTGAAAGAGAGTGCTTACCTTCAAGACTTCCGCTTTTTGTCCGGCCTGTATTACGACAACACATCGTACAAAGATCTCGAAGACATGAACAAGACTCTGATTGAGCTCCATCTTCAGATCAGCAAAATGACAACACTAGATGCGTCATGGCAGCATTACTTGAACAGCAGCGAGGATACCAGTCCCCGTGAAAGGCTCTTGCATACTCATCAGTTCATCAATAATGCGATCGAAATCAAGAATGGTATTCTACGATGGACAGAGCGATTCCTTCTTTTCGACGCTATCTACCTGATTCTGGTGAAGGAAGGAAAAATTAAATGTGCAAGAAGAGAGCAGTGGGAACGAGGAGAACGTAGCAAACATGACGTTAATGTGACGGACCTCCGAATTCGCATGGATGAACGGCTCCTTCTGTTGGACAAGATGATTGCAGCTATCCAGAAACACAAATTCGATCTAACCGTGGAATTGGCTAAAAAGAGAAGCAGCCTAATCGTGACGCAGACCTTGTCGAATCCTCTACAAGTACCGAAGTGGAGTATCGCGAGAAGCACACATCTACTGATCCCCTTGTTGAGCCTGTAGAAGTAGCAGCACCAGCCGAACCTTCTTCCAAGTCAGCCTTCGACGCTCGTCTGGAGCAGCTAGAACAACAGATGCAGAGAATGGTGGTGGAAATGGAATCTCAACAAAAATCTCACGGAAAGCGCAAACACAGCACCGAGGAAATGGGGACGGAACCCAAAATTCAGGCGTTGTCCGATGACGACTATATGGCAAGACTGGTTCAAGAATCTTCCGGAAGTGGCGACTTTCAAGCAAACGTGCCTGAGGAGGAGTTGTTCGAGAGACCAAGACGTAAAAGAAAGGATATCGAGAAAGACCTTGACGATCTCCGTAGGGGACTTCGGCTCCTGCC